GGGGGCAAGAGGAATAAACGATGCAAGTAGAGAAATATTATTTATGGACTGATGATTTAAAACTGAATAAAGCTGCTGAGGTGATGTTATCACTCAATCTTGTTTTTCCCTATCCCCCGGTGCTGTAGCTGTGATGTATAATGCAGAACAAGCGCTTGTTAGGTTGATGCTCGCAGTGTAACGATGGCAGTTTGTAGTGTTCTCTTGCTTTCCTCACACTGGGGGCCGTGGAGCAGTGAGCGGGAAAGGAGTCTTCCCAGCTTGTCACTTCCCATCATGAGGTAGCGGCTAGGACTATTCCGAGATGTCGTTATGGGACATGACAGCTTTCGTTCTTGAGCCAAGCAAACACTAGTCAACTTTAAACAAAAGCCTCCATCACCCTTTTTAATTTCTGTCCATCTGAGTTGAAATAAACGTCTGTCTTCCGCCTGCACTTTTAGAGACTAATGGAAAGCTCTGGCTAAGATAGATGTAATATTTAGATCTCTGTGCAGTCAGCCAGTTAAAACAGGATCATGACCTTCCTGTACGACTGTGATGGTACGCGTCTCCCTGCAGCTAGTAATGTTCTCCACGTATTCAGCAGAGGGACGCAGGGCTGATGCGAAATTAAAAGAATGTGCACCATTTCTCTGCTCTCGACATCTTAACATGTTAGCGGCATGGATGGCTGATGATGTTCTTCCCCCTCTGTAGGTTGTTTAGCCCCAGGCTCTCATTTTCTTGGGCGCTTTCAGGACCGTATGGTTTGGATAATGATCCTGGAGAGAGGATATGGCTACTGTACAGTCAACATTAAGGTACGGTGTCTTTCTCCATATCTATTTTAGTAAAACTTCAATTACTCAACCCGTGTTACTTCTACAAGATAACTTTTCTTTCCACCATGCCTCCACGGTGAACAAAGAATCTCCCAATAAAAGAAAATACTTTCAGTGTTTCCCCTAGGTTTACTGCTTTGGGGGGGTGCTGCCTGAGCGGGGGGGGGGGATTGGGATATATATTTTTGAAATCCTCTGGAACAGAGAGAGGAGTTTTGGATTATTGTTATTGATTAATACATCAGTGTTTCTTAGGGTCAAAAACACTAAACTCACAACTCACAAAGTCTTTAGTTTAATGAAAGTTAATGTAATTTCAACATATGCATACATCACAACATCAGTTTACAGACTCACATATGACTCGTGCAGTATAATCCAAGTGTATTTAATCCATTCATATACTCACTACTTAAAGGTGGGGTAGGTAATTCAGAAACACTTTTTGTTATATTCCATGGAATGCTCTTAACATCCCGATAGCAATGAATACATTAAATGCTTTGACAATAAATACATAAAACATTTCATCTGTGGAAGTCGTAGTACTGTAAAAAGCACGACCAATCATTTTAGCCGGCCCAGCTAAAATAACTGGATGGCCTACCTGCCTGTCAGCCTTCCATCTCGTGCACAAACTTATCTCGTGCCCTCATTGTGCGCGTTCGTGTGTGTTGGAGGAGGGGCTCTGTAAGGAAGTCTGAAGGAAGGGGCAGATTTTTTCCGGTTGTGTACTTTCAAATTCTAGCGCACTCGAGCTGGTTTCCCCGCTACCTTTAACAAACGCATTGCGAAACGCTTAATCATCAAAAGATTCATGCTTGCACAGGCTTGCTAGTTTTAGTTAAAAAGTTTAAGTATAAATGCATATGTTCGGAAGTACTAACCATACAACTGGATAAATGAGACTCGGACTATAGTGAGTTATTTGTAAATGTGTTGATATATAGTGAGGCTAGTGTTAAACTCATATTCCTCAAGATTTTGTAATGATTTTTATTATCCTTCGTTCACCGTGAAGGCATGAAAGACGTTTCCTTTAGGAATTCAGGGTAACCTTAGGTTAGTAATAGATATACAAATAATGATTTTGGGGTTGAATGTTTCTTTTAAAATTCACAGCAGTCCTTTGCAAGATTAGATGTGTTACATGTGTGCAATATTACATGTGCCGTGTGGTTTGTTACAGGGTCTGGAGCTCCAGGAGACATCTTGCCACACAGTGGAGGCTCGTAGGGTTGACGAGGTGTTCGAGGCCGCTTTTGAGCGTCCTGAGCGGCTTGGCTTCACTCAGGGCTTGAACCTGCACTGGGGGAACGCCCTCACCCCTTGCGCTGCCCTTACAGTGCGAGTCTACTCTGACGCCCGAAATGTGCTCTCTGGCATCATCGACTCTCACGACAACTTGAGGAAACTTCAGGATGAATTTCTGAAAGCACTGGTTTGGTTGCTGCTCAGATACTGTGTGCAGAAACATAAAGGATTTCTATGGAGCGGAGAAGAAGGGCCCGGGGCTGGAGGCAGGAAGTCCCAGTCCTCCACGTTTGCCCAGACAACTTCTAACCAACCACCTGAGGCCGTCGTGGTGGAATCCAACGTGTCTTCTCTCAGATTCAGACAGGACAGCTCCAGTCTGACGTCCTTTGGGGATTGGTCAGATGAGGATGACTTGTTTGGTCCTCAACCGGCCAGACGGACGGTGGCGTTGGTGACCGCAGAGGCCCAGCCTGGACTCACGGCGCTGCAGACGGGCGCCTCTCTGCCAGGCTCCGTGGAGATGGACAGTCTTTTTGAAAACATGGCTCTCTCTGCTCTGCAGCCTCTGCAGCCTCTGGGTCTGGGCATCGGGATGCCAGCCGTGGATAAAGGGCGTAACCCTGAGGTCTTCAGAGAGAGTCCTGGCTCTCTCCCTCAGCTGAACTTCAGCTGCCCGCAGTCGGAGGTGTTCAACCTGCCGACAGGGTGGAGGACTGCCCCTCTGCTGCCGTCCCGCCTGCTGCAGCTTAGGACTCTGTTTCCTGAGGACTGGTTTCGGTTCAGCTTGGGCCAGTTTGGGTCTGCTGTTCAGGGCGAGACCTCAGAACACATGACCAAAGCGCTGAAGGAGGACGAAGCTTTGAAAGAGCTTCATGCACAGGTTGCTCTTTCATGTCTCATATCAGTGGGGGCGGAGTCTGCCTTCACCAGCCCCAGCTACGTTTACAGACTCTATTGTGGAGACATACCGTGGACTGAAGGACTCGACTGGCTCTCCTCAAGTAAAGAACTTTACCAGCTCGCACTTCGGGCTTTCAGGTAACAGTGGCAGATACAAGTCTCTGGGTTTTAGTAACTCTTTTTTCATTGCTCTTTACTTGTTAAAATGAGATCTCTTACTGTGGTTACTCATTAGAAAAGCAGAAGTATTAAACGACTACATGACGCCGATATTTCAAAGAACAATAGTCATAATAACTAGTAGTTATATATTGAGTAGGTATTAAGTAAGCATGGATAATAAATTATTAAAGTAAATATATATTTTTTGTAATATGTGTTTTGTATGCCAGCTAGATTTCTATTCCTGTGACTTGTTGTCTCTCTTTTATATAATCAGTTAATTGTGTTATGTCTGTAGTGGAAAAAATATGAATATTTCATTGAATTATGGAACTATGGTTTTGTTTACTTTCAGGTTCAGTTTCAAGCTGCTGTTTGATCAAGCGAGTCTCGGGCCCATGGAGTCCCCTGAGGAATTGTTCAGCACCTTGGAGGAGTATGAAAGGGATTGGTACATCGGCCTGGTGACGGAGAAAGGCTGGCACGACAGCGTCCTTCAGGAGAAACCTTTCCTATTCTCTCTAGGACATGACCTCGCTATGGTAATTGCACGCTCTAGTTATTTTTTACATCCTTTCTATGCTACAAAAATATAAAAGTACATCTATTGATACTTTACCTGCAGCTTTTTCTTATCCTGTCATTGAAAAACTATTGAGGGTATTTAAAATGGCAATTTAGAGCCAATTTTGTGTTTTAAAAATGGTATGATTGTGTGCACAGGGTACGTACACCGGGAGAGTTCTGTCCCTGCAGGAGCAGCTGGTGCAGGTGGGGCGTCTGAATGGAGAGGGGGTGCGAGGCCAGTGGGCGAACCTGTCCTGGGAGCTCCTGTACGCCACTAATGACGACGAGGAGCGCTACAGCATTCAGGCTCACCCCTTCATGCTAAGGAACCTAACTGTTCAGGCAGCTGACCCCCCTCTAGGATACCCCATTTACTCCTCAGCCCCTCTTCACTTCCCCTGCCTCTGACCTGTGGCTTCTTCTGCCTTTTCCGCTGAAAACACTATGTGAAAGTAAAGAAGTCTATTTTTAAAGATTTTTTTCCATCTTTAAGGCGTTATTGGGTTTTAGATACAGAAAAAGGCAGCAACTTTCAGATTCAAACCCAGGCCGCTGCGGTCAGAACTCAGCCTTTGTACATGAGGCCCCCCCGCTCTGTCGAGTAAGCTATTTATACAACCGGAGGATGCTTTTCAGTCGGTACTACCACAGCAAAATGTCCACCTTCAAAGTTAAGGGTTACGGGGTCATGTGGAAACTACAGCAAAGCAAAGAGAAAACTTCCAACAATTTTGGAGTTTTACTTTTGAAGCTTGAATAAGTTGAAAAAGTGTGGGGTTCCTTCATTTCCTGCACCACAGAGAAAGAGTCAGTGGCATCACCACTGTACTCGCCTACAAGTTGCAAAACGTTGTGAACACATTTTAACTGACAGTGTGAACTACCTCCTAGAACAGCACATTAAAAAAGAAAAAAAATATCCCTCGTGGGTTTCCAGTGAAGCACATACGCTTTGTGGTTTGTTTATAGATGTTTGTGCTTTGAAAGAAAGTGAATCTATTTTCCCACCTCCCCTCTACATGACACCAGAATTTTAATGTTTTGCTAAAATATAAAGGATGTGCCTTGGGTATGTCTTGCTGTATGTGTGTAATGTGTTTAGTGCTATCGTTTTCTTTACAGCCCACTTGTTTACAATTTAGAATGAAAAGTGAAATGAATTTGTCCATATTCTCTTGTACATATTGTTGATTTTTATATGTTTACCGGTATAAACTTATAATAAAATAGCTTGGCAAAACTGTTTTTGTTACTGTTTTACTAGATGATGTTGCGAGGGCAGAAAAAATTATCCAAACTTTTTTGTATTAGTCATTCAAAAGGTTTGTGCAAGTATAGGTGAGTTAGGCTAAAGTAAAGGGTTTACTTTACATCAGAGAGGTAAGCATAATGAAAAAAATGCCGATTTGTTTATTACACCCTGCCTTGGCTGTGCTTAAAATCAGTTGTGCCGTGCAATATTTTCCTTTAGGATGAAAGCAAAGACCCACATTCTGCAGAAACCCCATATCATTTCAAGGTTGAATATCAGGAATGCAATAAACGTGTTTCTTCTTGACGATGTGACTCTCAGGAGGTCTTGGGCTTGGTGAAGTATGCGGAGTCTGCATCCTGCAAAATAAACGGCCAGCTGTTAGTTCAGTTTGAACACTGTACATGAAATCAAAACATGAAAACTATCTCTGCATTCACTGGTAACATTTTTAATTCTAGAGTTATTGTGTGGTAGTCACAAGCGTGGCTGTGATATTGTCTAAACACCAGCGACTTCACTGTTAAGGATAAGTGTCAATTTGGTCTTATTGTGTCAAGAGTACACGTCCCAATCTTACAGAAGCATGTGACGCTGCAATGTCTGGCCAGTTGGAACATGACCTTTCTTTGCGGCCCCCAGCTGTCGCTGTCCAGCAGAGGCCAACAGGCACACTGGTCAGTCAGTCGGCACCGCGGGGAGGTAGTCATGCTCACTGTTATACCCCAGCCACCGTCGTCTTCCATTTAAAGTCAAGCAAGGTCAGTAACAGCTGAGGCCCCCAGCTGTTAAGACACTGCTCTGCATAGTGTCTGCCTCCTTCTGCTTTGTTCAAGTATTTTAAGTCCTTTCACGCAGTGAGAATGCCCCGATCCCAATTCTAACAGAGCAAGGTCAACCGTACCCAATGCAAAAGCAAGGCCCAACACACAAACAGCTCATCATGTGAGAGCTTCTGACCAGTCAGCTTTTTTATCTGAGTTTGACCAGGTGTTATACATTAAGAAAATTAATTATGCAGTATAACAGGGAGGTTTTTGAAGGTCATACATACACATGGTACACCCAAATGGTCTTTTTCACGTGTTTGGTTCAATAGCTCTCTACCTACGATAGTATTAGCTAGTGTCTGATTGGTGAAAATGGGCTTGGTTGAACACATTATATTGACCTTGTACACAAAGGTTTCCTCAAATTAGATTAAATACCTACCAGACCAGCTTTGAAATGCTGCACTCTTTTTCTGCCCAAGAGGTTTGTGATGAACCAGGCAAATGTGGGTGCGTACTGCCAGGTGTAGTAAAACAGGAGGAAGGGCTGCTTTGCAATCCACATTTCCTTCACATTATTGGCAATTCCCACCAGCATTAGACGCACACAGCGACTGGTTGTCATCTTGTGCTCCTGGTTTCCAGCTGCAGCCACAGGCTTAGGAAAAAATAAGGAAAATGTGTTACTGTAAACGCACTACTAAAATAGCTATGGTCATATTACACACAGCATTATGTTAAAAATCACAAGCTCTTTACTGAATACCCTTGTCAGTTCCTCTGTGAAGGCATTTTGGACAATCTGTGATTGCACAGGCCCGGGCAGCACAGTGCTGATGAGTATGTTTGGAAATTCAGTCAGTTCAGTCCGAAGTGAATTAAAGAAACCCTGTAAACAAAACAGTTACAATCAGCAGTAGTACACACAAAGGCCTGGACAGCTGATCAGCTGTAAAAGGTGTTTGTTTCATGTATAGAACTAATTAAGTTAAGTAGAGATCCAGATAAACCACACCTGCTGTTCTGTGATTAAAATAAGTATCCTAAATCCATTAATACACAGTCTGAAGACACTGGAGAAATTAAATCGGAAAGAAATATAATGTTTTGTGACTATTTTGGCTCTGATCCAACAGCTGCTATCTCAGAATCCTTACAGGTGCTCCATTTTAGAATCAAAATATATATACATTGAGAAGTTATAATAAAAAAATAAATACTTCTGTAAAAGTGTGTGCATTGTACTACAAAATATAACAATAATTAATAAGGAAAATAGAAATGAAAAAACGTTTTTAAAAAAAAAAGAAATATCATTGGAGTCAATAATATAGCATAATATATTCCCTTCACCTGAAGAGCATGTTTGCTGGCAGAGTATCCGGTTGCCAGGGGCGCCCCGGCGATGCCGACCAAGCTGCTGACGCTCACGATGCTCCCGCTGCCGCGCTGCGTCATATGAGGCAGCACCTGCTTGGTGATGGAGACCGTACCCAGGAAGTTGAGCTCCATCAGAGCCTGATACACATCGAAACTGGTCTCCAAGCACAGAGAGCGCTGGCTTCGGCCGCCATTGTTAATTAGGACATCAATCTGAAGAGGAAAAGTGGACAAAACCAGAGGATAGCAAAACAGCATGATTTGAATTCCTTTTACATTTAAATGCATGGAGAGACTGCTTTGACTTGGTCATAGTCACATTTGAGTTTAAGGACTAATGCACAGTAAAGTGAAATGTTTAAGGATTGAATATACCTTCCTTCCAACAAGACAAGAGGATGTCTATAATAGAAGTGAAATCCAGAAACCTGAATATTTTAACTCATTATTAAAAAGGAACACAATGACAATATCACCAGCTAAAAACAACAAACTAAAGAATGTTCCTCTCCCAACTGATAGCTTTGATAATTCATTAGAAATGATCCTGTTGCAGTGAAACACTTGCAGTGTGAAAACACATTGTATTATAAGAGTAATTGCAGTGGCCTTACATGTCCAAAGAACTGAATCGCAGCTTTGGTTTTTTCCTCATGTGATGTTCTCTCCAACAAATCAAGTGGAAGAACAAGTACATCTGCATCCTGGAGGTTGGTGCGCTCTTAAAGTAAATGACACAAATAATTGAGCTAGTCACAACAAAGGAAGACTGAATGAAAGTCAAATGAATACTCTGTCATAGGATTTTTTAACGAGGGGATACAATAGCTTGAAAAATAACTTTGAAACTTTCCTCACCTAAACAACCACGTTTCACTCTATTCAGCTCATCCTCGCGCCGTGCAGACAGAATGAGGCGTGAGCCGCACTTTGCCAGCTGGTAGGCCAGCTCCTCTCCAATTCCACTGGAGGCTCCTGTGATCCACACCACCAGCCCCTTCAGCTTACTCTCTGGTTAACAAACGAGGGGGGGGGAATTAATTTCAGCTGTACTCAACATCAACATTAACTCAGTTTAAAAAGAAAAGGACAGACGACCACTGGATCTGTTATCCTAGCATGAACATCCCAAGTAAAATAAGGACAGATATTTGTCTTTTTAACCCAATTTTGCCAAAATCATTCCAGAAGAACAAGTCATATTGCTTAGCCTTACACAAACCATCTTAGCTATATACAATACAATTGTATCAAGGTTTTTTATTTGGTGACCCATGTTTACCTATGTGTGTTGATGTTGATAGTGGTGAAAAGTAACATTCACTTTCTGCTACTTTGTACCTACAAATATTTGACTTTTTATTCAACAACATTTATTTGAAAGCAGTGGTAAATATTTGCAGTGAAGAATGTTTTCATTATAAAAACGTACAGGATCTTTTCAAAAATGAGAAGCATTTCTTAAATGGCAAATTCCAAAAGTATAAAAGTTAAAACTTGTTTAACCTTGGCCACCACAGACAAATGAATCATACACAGGAGCAATTATAGCTCAACCATAGCTGGAATGTTGAGGTTGATGAGATATTAACATTTGGGAGTTAAAAAAACCTTAGTAACAAATATACTGGCAGTAGTGGTAGTATTTTAATTCATGTGGAAATGTTAGACCTTTAGGGTTTAGGATTAGAGTCTTTGCTTTGGCTTAACAAAATAAAAAATAAATAAAGTCACACAAAATGTATGTCATATTATGCATTAACTTAACTGCATTAAGCCAAGTGTGTTGGTATGGTAAAACATGTGAAAATGAATCCCGGATGTGCATCAGCTAAACTGGGGGGATTGAGAACACTATAAGTATATATAAAAGTGGAGTTTGATCTCTGAGGACCTCAATAGCACATGGTGAGTAACATGGGTCACACGCATATACTGTATATATATACACGCTATGGTCACACGTCAACAGCTAGCTAGTTACTCTTTAACGGTGGACATTGTGCGTGCAACGATAACTTGTTGGGAGATTTATGGAAATGAGATGCCAATACATTTTTCAGCTTTAATTTCAAACGGGTACATTTCGTTGTTTTGTTAATAGGAGAAGGGACTCATTGGGAGTCATTATGACAGGCTATCTCACCTGGTCTGTGTCCGAACAGACTCGACCACAGCAGAGTGAAGTCTGCATCCGCGAAAATAAAACACACGAAGTGAAGAAGTGCATAAAGTGATGCAAAACTCCCCAGTGCAGTTACAATGCAACAGTCCATTGGTTGAAACTAAATTAATACAGTTATGGTTTAAATTCACTAGCTACTACTGCATATTAAAGCTTCAGCCAAAACAATACTGCCGTTTAAGGATACAACGTCACTTCCGCTCGGATATTTTCAAAACTAAAGCTTGGCGCATGTCAGTTTTAAAAGAAGCAACGGCCACCAGACAGCACCAACACTAGATACATTAACATTCTAGGTGTGAAGTCAGTCCCATGTTATTTTTTTTATTCTTAATCAATAAATAATAATTATAAAGACAATCCAGTGGATTTTTGAGGTTGTATTTAGGCTACATATTAGTCTGTATTTCTTTAGCAAATTCAGATATGACCTGATTTTCTTGCAAGAAGGACCTGGGTAAAATTTGCAGTTTTGACCCCGTCAACAAGCCCGCCTTTTCCCTTCTCAGTACAAAAATGTAGGTACAATAACGGCCTATAATTATAAAATCTGCATAATTTAGAGACGGAAAATGTGTCCATTGGATCTAATGTGCCACAACTTAATCTGAAATATACATATTAAGGATCCAGTGTGTTAGATTTTAGGAGGATCTTTTAGCAGAACATAACATAATATGTATTTTATATAGACAATACATGCTAAACACTGGACCTTTAAAACGTGACGTATGTCCTGTAATGTACAAGCTAAATATCAGAATATCAGATTTGGGAGCTCATGTTTTTCTGCATACATGCCTCCTGCGCAGCCTGAGAAGACTCAGCTCAGGGATGATGTCATGTTTTCTAGTACGCAACCTGCAACATCCGGGTCCTCGGTTTGAAGCAACTTTATTCAAAACATATACAGTGACAAATGTAATGTTGTAAAATGAGGACAGCATATACTTTTGTTCACCTTTAACATCTGTTTAAGAGAGAAACAATATTTGACGAGGGGTTTGCAAAGTTCATGTATTATTCATTATCATGATTATGTTGTTCTAACCCTAACCCTTTTAACTAGAAATAAAAAAAATCTTGTTTTACACTATCCTGTTTTGAATCTGTATTTATGGATCTGTACTTTTAAAACTTGTTCGGAATAAATCCTTTGAATCATACATTTTGTTTATAGCTTTTAATGTATTTCTTTATATTAGGATGAATTAGAACTTTTAGGAAATATGTTGTTATATTCAATGTGTCACTTTCCCCGTTGTTTTTAAGATTGTGTTTACCAAATAATGCCTCAGACATTGTTATCCCGGAAGTTGTAATGACGCAGTGCAGCCACTACACCGTCCCCGGGGCTCGCTGCTCCTCCGAAGCTAACGTTAGCTAGCAAGCTGTCAAGCTGTCTAGTGGAGAGGCTGAGACAGACGTTTCAGCTTCCCCCCTGGCTTGGCCCCGCAAAGCTCCGGCCCACAAATTCCCTGAAAAATCTGTCAGAATATACTTTATATCGCCAGCTGAGATAATGTAATGCATCACGGGCATACGCAAAGAGGGACCCTCCGCACTTACACCATTTATATGCACTGTATCCCGAGTGACGACTGCTCTCATTGCTAGCTAACTGGATAGCTAGCCTAGCTAACCTCCGCAATCCCCCCAGTTTCGTCGGTGTACACTCTCAGGTGTGAACGGAGGCCATTCATTCCTCGTCACGGCGCAGTTTCCGTTGCTGTCAGCTTGTATTTCGGATATTTGGTAAGTCATACAATGTTTTCTTTAAAGTCAGCAGCGGCACAGGAACGTTTGGCAGTTATCTGTCCTAGCCGTGTTAGCATTTGACGCTGGCGATAATACGTTAGCAAGGCCGAGGGCTCTCCTTGCCTTAACATAACGTTAGCAAACTATGGTGGAGGGAGGCCTGTCAAAGTTAGCTGTGAGGGACAAGGGTCAAGGCCCGTATCTAGGAAAGGCTGTTTGTTTATTTGGGTTGTGGTCTGAACTTGCTAAATAGCTAACTTTTTCCGTAAATCTAAGAGCAAAATCTATCCTTAATGAGCAGGTTCATGTTGTGTATTAGCTCACCTTAACGTTAGCATTAATGTTGGATTTTGAAGAGCTTCTGAAATTGTTTTGTGGTTGTTTTTGAGTAACTGGTCAGTCGGTTAGCTGATGTTAGCTCTGCAGGCATGTAACGATAGCTTTATCTAACATAACCCCGACTAGGTACTATGGTGAAGTGTTGTGCACCGCGAAGGTCATAGAGCTGCCCAATGGTGTATTCAAAATAACAACGTGTGTTAAATGACAGTCACAACATTACATAAGATCGATCAGGCACTGATTTAAGGGCGTTTCAATCCGACCCATAATAGCAGTGTTCCCTAATATGTAGTCAGAATGTGTACACATGTCTACTATTTTTAGATTGGAGCATGGTGCCTGAACTGAGCTCTAATATACTCAAATATACAAATCTTTGCAACAATTGGTTGAAATACGTACTTTTTATTTTAACTCGCTTTAATAGAACACTGTGTCCTTATTGGCACTAGATATGCAGTACTATTTGATGTAAATATCCTTTAATAGTATGCCTTTTGCATTATTACATGATTAGAAGCTGAATATTGCCAGAATTCTTAAATTATTAGGAAACACTACATTTTTGTCATATCTTTTATATTGATTTATGTCTTTTCATTTGTGTCACAGTTCTTAAGAAGTACACAATGGGTGCATTTCTGGACAAACCAAAGATGGAAAAATACAATTCCCGTGGTGAAGGCAACAACGTGAGATATGGGCTGAGTAGCATGCAGGGTTGGCGGGTAGAGATGGAAGATGCACACACAGCAGTAATTGGTCTGCCTCATGGTCTCGACCCCTGGTCATTCTTTGCTGTTTATGATGGGCACGCTGGCTCACAGGTGGCCAAGTACTGCTGTGAGCACCTGCTCGAGCACATCACCAGCAACCCAGACTTCCAGAGTGCTCTCCAGGAAGACCCCTCTGTCGACAGCATCAAGACTGGGATCCGCACAGGCTTTCTGCAGATTGATGAGCACATGCGAAGCATCTCTGAGAAAAAGCATGGCGTGGACCGCAGTGGTTCCACTGCAGTGGGAGTGATGATTGCTCCAAACCATACCTACTTTATCAACTGTGGCGACTCACGGGGACTCCTCAGCCGGGGTGGGGCGGTGCACTTCTTCACACAGGATCACAAACCCAGCAACCCTCTGGAGAAGGAAAGGATCCAGAATGCCGGTGGATCAGTCATGATCCAGCGAGTAAATGGGTCTCTAGCTGTGTCTCGGGCTTTGGGAGACTTCGACTACAAGTGCGTGCATGGAAAAGGCCCGACGGAGCAGCTTGTTTCTCCTGAGCCCGAAGTTTATGCAATAGAGAGATGTGAGGGGGAAGATGAATTCATTATACTAGCTTGTGATGGCATCTGGGATGTCATGGCCAATGAGGAACTGTGTGACTTTGTCAGGTCAAGGCTAGAGGTGACTGATGATCTTGAAAGAGTCAGCAATGAAATTGTTGACACCTGCTTGTACAAGGTATGGCATGTCCACAAAACTTGCATTGACATTTTGTGATGTTTGTTTTGGTAATGTTGTTGATTACCATGACCTCTGTGTTTGTTATGTATTCCTCAACAGGGAAGCAGGGACAATATGAGTGTTGTGTTGATCTGCCTTCCTGGGGCACCAAAGGTTTCTCCAGAAGCAGTGAAACGGGAGGCTGAGCTGGATAAATACCTGGAGGGCAGAGTAGAAGGTAAGAAAGAAAACATATATTTGGGGTTAGTTTACAACCAAAGAACATGGGATATTGACATAATACTTTTCCCTTTTGGTATCATATTTTCTTTGGTCAGTGTAAACCCCATGTTTCCTTTCTAGTTTACATAACGTTTTGAATAATGTTTGCCTTATTAACATCTAGGCTTATTGGAAAAGATAACATTTGCTAATGCTTTCATGCCAAAGAAACAACACTGTTGTTTCAGACAACAAAATAAATAGGCAACTTCTTAATATGGCAGATTATTGTTATCGGTGTAATCACTGGGCATTTGTAATGCATCTTAATTAGGTCACACACAACATATGGGGTTGATCATTATGCTGGATTTTCAGAATGATCCAACAGAATAACACATCTCAGTTGTTTTCAAATGTCTTTGTCATGGCATTTGATTCTGTCACTAACTAAAATACCTTACATTTCATGACTGACATTTACTGTAATGTCATGTTAGAAAAAGGAATCCCCCCCCACACTAGATGTGTTTATGTTCAGTAGACTTTCATCAAGTACATTCAAGGTGTAACATACAAGGCCATTCATTACATTTACCTTTTTAAGCAAAGAACCTCAGTATCTATTTACCACAACAATACAAGAGTTTTTGAAAGACTGATGGTGACATATTTAAAAATTGGAGGCCATTCTATGAATTCAACTTACACTTATTGTTAAATGCTGACTTGACAATGTGGAAAAAGTAAGTCTCGTTAAAAGTCTTGTCTTTCTGGTTAATATGTGTCTATTGTTGTTACAGTAGTTGGCAATAAGTCTCAAAAATCATTACCACTCCATTGAATTGTTACACTACTATTCCTTTATGGTTTCTCACTGGAGCTAGAGAAAAAGAAAAGGGAAGTCAATTTATTTCATATAGGCTACAAATGTGAATCACAACATCACCTCAAATAGCTTTACAATCAATATAGCATTCAGAAGTCACTATCCTTAGGCTGTCAATTCAGACACACGTGCTATACTGTAGATGTTGTGTGTGTATATAGAAACTTGTATTAAGAAGCAGTCGGGCACTTAACCTTGGCTTCTCCACACTTAATGCCCTGTCCTGCATTCAAACGACACTAGGGAAAGAAAACACCTTGTAAATACCACGGCACATGCAAACTTTGATGCGCTCAAGACAACTACCATTTAAAAATGGCCGAGGCCCGGTTTAAGTGGAATTCACATGTTTAAAAATGACTTTGTCGGTATAAGAGACCCAATGATTGGCCCCAGCGAGTATGTGGGCGAGGATTGTAAATCTGCGATGTAGAGATGACATTTGCTGTAAAGTTGTCTTATGTTATTAAATAGTGTTTTTTAACCCAGACCTAGTAGTAGTAATAATTAGTGATGCACGATATTAGGAATTATGACGTCATCCCGATAAACCCGATACCAGTATTAATAGCCCCGATAATATACAATATAATTTTTGGGTGAAAAAAATACTGTGATGTGGGTGGATTGGGATGAGGGGCGCTTGTTTTTCCCTCGGCTCCTCCCGTTTTGCCAGTACTGTGGTATTAGTGGTTTAGGAAGAGGGGAGTTCTTCACAAATCCAGCGCTCCCTAACTCATGCCTGGCTGTGACGTAAATGGTGTGCGGCCGTGAAGCCAGGACAGTAAACAAACATGTCGCCGGTAGTATGGGACTATTTCAAAGTTTCAGAGTTAGATAGTTCGCTTGCTATTTGTATTAACAAATGCAATGCAGAAGTTCCACGAGGAGGGAAAAAGGCAACGAGCTATAATACTTCCAACCTGATTAGTCACCTGAAACATCGCCATCGCTACGATGGTGTGTTAAAAGCGTACGAAGACGCCTGCGCTGCTAAACTAGCGGCGAATCCAAAGCCAGCTGCAAAGGCACCGGGGCTTTTACCTATCGACGAGGCTTTTGAAAAAGGCAAGAACTTTATTTGGGAAAATAAATATGGTCACTTTGAAGAGTCAAAACTGTTCTTGGCTTTGTTTTGTTCATAGTAGTAATGCTCATGTCATTTGCTCACTACTAGTCTCTTTTTTACCACCAGGTGTGCAAAAACTACAGGTACATTTAATATATATATTATATTATTATCAGTTATCGGTCTTGAGAAGCAGGAAGTTATCGGTTTCAAAAAACCAATATCGTGCATCCCTAGTAGTAATAATAATAATAATAATAATAATAATGGTATTATTTTAGTATTATCAACCAAGCACCAACCTCTATGCTTAAATCTAAGCATGATAATATTGACCTTTTTAAGAAAGAGATGTTTCAACCATAATTATTCTCTAATCTTATTCTTCCAACAGAGATCATCAAAAAGCAGGGGGATGAAGGTGTCCCAGATTTGGTCCATGTTATGCGCACGTTAGCATCTGAGAGCGTCCCTAACCTCCCTCCTGGAGGGGAGCTGGCAAGCAAGTGAGTGAGCTTTGTGCTTAGAATAGAGGAAAATGATGGTATCAATAACCTCTAACATTGTTGTACTTTTTTCTTGCCCTCAGACGAAGTGTTATTGAAGCAGTGTACAACAAACTCAACCCCTACCGAAGTGATGACACAGTAAGTATTCCAACTCTTCTTCTAACTCCCTGAAGGTGGGCTTGGCGTGTAGCATGCATGCTTTTTGACGTGTGACCAGCTAAATCTTAAACCAATTTATGCATGTCATTAGTAGTCAACAAGATGGAACAAAGAAATAGGCCTGTTGCCAGGTCTAATTAAAAAAAAAAAAAACGTTACAGACCTGCATAGCGACCTTGCTATGGTTGTCTCATTGCCTTTTGTCCCGTTCATGTGAATCTGAAAAACAGAACATTTTATTAATATTCTATGTTAGTTTTGTAATACCATTTTTTTTAATTTGTTCAATTTTTACCATGGAACACAATCGCATTGCGGCCCTATGCCAAAAAGGCTGACTTCCACATGAGCTGATTTCACTAATTAGAGCTCTTTTAAATCAAAGAGGAAAGAGCTAATAAGCAAACATATTTGTGTGGATGGGCTAACAAATCTGGACTCTCTTACAACATGGTTTTGAAGAGGAATATTGCATATCATTCTTTTATATACAAACGGAGCAGAAAACGGTCGCCTCTTCTACTCAGATATCATGCTTTTGAATTTACCTCAGATAAGCTCACTGGGTCAGCTCATTTGAATTAGGCATATTTGATCTTGTCCTTGACTGTGCAAATTAGGACTTTGTTTCAGTGTTTCATGTTTGCGTAATGATAGACTTTAGGAATTACTTTCACACATTGAGTTTTGGGGAAATGAAGGTACCTTCAGAAAGCGTTCGGGCACCTTGACCTCCTCTGTATTATGTGGTGCAGCCTGAATACACATTGGTCTAAATAGACACAAAGCTTTCTATGGAGTAGGTGAAATTAGTTTATTTTAAATGTTTGCAAATGTTTTCAAATCATCTATAAAACACTTAATACAGTATTTCTTACCATATTCAACCTTTTTTGGAGATAGTAGTCATTTGAGCCACCTTTTAGCAGCATTTGCACTTTCAGTTCTTCTTGGACAACTATTTATAATCTTTGCACACAAAGTTATTTAAAAAAATGTGATGTTTCGCAAAGCTCCCAAAAGAGTTAAACGTTATTGTTCTGAAGCCATTCTGGTCTTAATGTTTGTTTAACGGCGTGTGCCCACATAGCGTCTTTTCTGAGCCCAAGTTTCTTTTTTGAATTGTTCCTAATGATGAGAGGGCGTATGAGGCCATGAGAAAAAGCTGCTGCAACCAGCCGCTCTATCCTAAGCTCTATATGTCACACAGACAGTATAATAACAAAAAACCCATTTGTTGGAGGAGTTGTCTTTCAACTGATCATCCTCTTGGCTCTACGGCTGTCAGATGGAGCAGTGACAAGCACATTTATACTGAAGTAAAACTAAGAATGCAAACATCCTCTGGTTGCTTCATATGGGGAAAAGTCAAACGAATGGATAATAAAAAGAAAGAAGGTGAAGCTTGTATGACAGTCAATGTGGAGACTGCTATCAAAATATTGTCAGAGAAATATTAAAAGAAATTCTCAAGTGTACTCTTGGTATTTCCTAGCAGTTTGTACTTAAGAATATATCTGTATTTAGCCGGCTTTATTGTTAGAACCTTTACCTTAGTGAAACTGTGCCGTACGATGCTCAATAGAGAGACAACAGGATCCTGCAGCCGTAATGCTGGCTATGTCTGAAGAGTTTGGTGGTCTTTTCATTAGACCACACAGCTCTTTTTGCCTTGTGCTGTCAGTCTAACTTGCCTCCTTTCAAACCTCAGACATGATGTCATGCAGCCCTTTGTTGTTGTTGTTGTTGTTGTTGTTGTTGTTTATTCCATCTATTTTTTAAATTCCTCTAGTGACATCTCTTATCGTCCCTTTCACATGTTGCTCTGAACAGATAGTGCCTTGTTGCTTGGTTTGGATTTATCGATCTAGCTCGTTCTGGCTCTCAGTTGTTCAGGAAAGACCTTTACATGAACAGGTAATGTTTTGGAGAGTATGTCCTTATGAAGACAGAGGGTTAGAGCAGTGACAACAAATCCTAATAGCCCATTATAAACTCTGGTAGCACCACAAAATACAGAAAAGGTTGGGGGATATGTCAATAAGGCTGTTGCAATTGTATCACATTAATTAGTAAAAGTGTCAGTGTAAAAAAACACCATCTTATCATAAGTCCTTCGAAGAGAGGATGCCAGATGTAGACCTGAACACATTGACTGCATACATTGGTAGGGGTCACAGATCAGCCATGCTCAATATACTTTGTCTGCTCTATTGTGTGTAATCTGTGACTAACCTTGGACATTTTGTGCTAGGTATTTTTTCTCAACTCTGAGGAAAATGGCAATGCCTGAAATAATAATAACTAGAAAAACTTCCAGTATTATGTACCTACATTCAGATGGGCTACTGTTCTTCGCTATCTTTTCTTTGTCCCGTTATAAAATGACAATAACAGAACAGAAGCTACTATAATGATAATATTATTGACATTTGAAACGGGAGCGCTGTTTTGCTAAATTCTCTAAACATCTCAATCAAGCAATTACATGTTTGGCAGTTTTCTTTGTTTGTAATAAGGGAAAGTAACAAGTCAAAACAAGTCCTTTCCATACAAATCACAGCAGTATTGGAGGCTTTTTAACAAGGTAGAAGTTTAAGGAACAATAGATAATATGAACACTATTTATCTTATCCATAAAGAAAGATAACAAAAAGGTTACTTTGAAAAGAATGATCAACTTAAGTACGGACCTGTACCGCTATATCTGTGTACTAATACTTTGGTACATAGCATAACAATTAGACTTTCTTGTATGCTTGTAAACCGAAAGTTAAAGAGTAAGTACGACAACCAAATGAATAATAATAATATTTTATTTCCAATCCCAAGTCCTCTAGGATCGGTTATTTTCCCGGTTCCAAGTCCTTTTCAAAACTGATATGAACTGTAATGGCATAGATGCCTAGTGCACAATCAAACTACAACACCGACATTTGATGATATAGAATTTAACTTACCCCCACCCCCTAAAAAAAAAAAAAGTTCTGTATGAAATAAACATGGTTAAATAGCAGCAAAGATAATAAGTGTTATTATGTATCTGGCACATTCAAAACAAGCGTAGCATACAACATCTCTTTAGGATTTATGCCTCAAATTCCAGTTCTAAACTAAATATTAGTTTGACTTTTAACACGTGGCAAAATGTTCTCACTGTAGAGCCCAGCTGTAACAAAGAGAACCGATTTACCGTCAAATTACGGAAGTTTGTCTGGTTTAATTTTTGCTGGTACTCTATTCAAATCAGCCCTGATACTAATCTTAAGGATTGGCTTTTGAATACCAGTGGCCTATCATGCAGGTAGAGCTGAAACAACATGGCAGTTACAACAGTCATGAGAATAATGCCAGTCATTGTGACTATGTGCTTTAACTCTTAGCACGAAGCTACTGCACTAATCTATTTTCACAATAACTGTTCCAGCCCAAATGATTGATGCCAAGTCTATGCCTGAACATGCAGTGAAAGGTCATTAGGTCTATGTGAGAAATAAGCCTGAACAAGTTCGCACAAACTCGTTATTCACCATCAAACCGACCTAATACCTGTGGCAAGTTACAAGAGTTGCCTAACATTGCCACAAAAATACATGAGGAAAAAGTCTGAAGAAGCAATACAGTCGGCTCTATCATTGGTTGCTACATCTTATGTTTGTGTGAATAATTCATTATTTCATTCAATTGTAGCTTCTCATTTATTTGTACCAACATTAAGAAAGACAGTTATATCATACTTGTATTGCATATGATTTATAGCTGCATGATGCTGTAGCTTGGTTTAATATATGTTAAAACATAAACAAATATAGCAACCAATTTAAGTGATCTCTTGACTGGTAGATTTGGATAGATGAAAGGATGCTAAAATAATATTAATACTCCTTAACGGCTTTTTATATCTTGTTGAAAAAGAGATATTTGAAACAACAAGCATGCGAATATTGTGTCAGATATTGCTAATATAGCTTCAGCCCCTACTTGTTGCGTATTAGATAAACAATGATACACGGCACGCTGACCTTATACACTGAGTAATGAGTGTTTTAAATAGCAATGGGATATAGATGTGTTACACACTTGAGGAGTTGATTACCGCAGCATTTTAAAAAGCCTCTAAGATATTTGGGGAAATACCGCTGTTGAATGTGAACCCCTGGATGATCTGTGTTCTGTCAGTGTGTGTCATACATGCTTAAAGCTCTCCAGCTGTTGGTAGAGATGTGATGGTTTTTAGAGCCAGTCTGAAGGGTTTCTCCTTCCTCTCCTCTCTCATCAAGGACTCTGCGTCCACAGACGACATGTGGTAACACAACCTCCCACCACTAACACAGCATAGAGTTTACAACCACCATCCTCTCCAGACCCACAGCAGCTCAGCAGTCTGTCTCCGTCACTCGGAGCTTTTGGTTTCTAAGAAGGGAATTTCATGGGAGGAAGAAGAGGAGTTGCATGCACACAAACCTGGAATAGTGCAGCACCAGTCCACTCTGGAGTTCAGGATCCCCACGTCTTGTCTCCCCCCTTTATGTTCACCCCTCCCCTTGATACTCTCCTCTAAAGTAACCCATAACAAGTGAGTCCCCAAGGTTTTCTTTCTTTTTGTTAAATAATCAGCTTAAGTAGTAAGATTTGTTGTTGTTGCTGTAATTAATTTGATTCACATTTCCTTGTGTGTGTGTTTGTATATTTCTGTTTTTTGTGAAGTGCAATTGTCCTGTACAAACAGCCTGTATTTAATGCAGCTTGATTTTAAGTTAAAAAATGAAAGAAATGAAAAAGAGAACCTTTTATGCACTATCTGCCTTTTCCTGCTCTTCTGGAATTGTATCAAATGTCTATTCAGTGAATATTACTGCTTGTCCTCCAGGTACAATGTCTCTGCGCTTTTACAGTACTTTCCTTTTCCCCCCTTTCAGTTAGTCTATGCTCCTTTTTAAGAAACGGGTAAATTGTATAGTTGACAGCACACTAAGCTCTATATCAAACCATTTAAATCCTAATTATTTTTCCCCTGTGCTTTTTTATTGTATTTTATTTTTGTAAGTGGTTTTCTCTACATGCTCAAATAATAATGGCAAAGTGTTTCTCGAGTCATTTTGGAAGTTTGTAATGAAACTTTATTTTGAGGCATCTGATAAAGATAAGACCCCGGTTAACACATGTGTCTGTGCAAATAGATACTTGCAAGCGTGCGTGGGTGCTTGTGTGTATGTATGTGCGCACGTGCGTCAGTGTAAAGGCAGATCTGTGTGTGTAACTCTAATTTAAATCTAACTAGGGTGGATTGGTCAGACCAGGCTGGAGTTTAAGGGACTCTCCTCCCAATGCTTTCCCTCCGTCTGCCCTTTCTCAGCCAGTGTTTCACTTCCACCCAGCAGAGGCTTTCACTACTTCCTATTCCAAAACGTTTGGGATAACAGAGTTTACATGCTGTAACGCTATCTGAACAACATCAAGCTATATATCAGAACCATACAGTAACCTGAGATGACACAAGTAGTTCAATTTACCCAACGTGTATAATGCATTGCAGTTAGTCAAGTCTAGACTAGTTTACACATCTATTGTGTCATATTGAAATATCAGTTTCTTAACATACTTTGTTACCAGTATGCCATATGATTTATATCGCTTTTTTCAGCTTTATGACAGCCTATGCCAAGTTTCTTTTTCATGAGATTCAGATTTTGCATGTGGTACAGATACATTTTTAACTTCTACCTTTTAACAACATTTGACAGGATTACCACTCAGATAATAGGACAAACAACAAGGCTACTTTTATTCTTCACAGGGGTTTTAGTCAGACATATAAACCAAGAACAAATCTGCCTACTGCGATGAGTTCTCATGGTTGTACAGCACCTTTTTACCCCCCCAGCACCACAAGGTTGCAGGTCACCCTTGAAAAAGAGATCTTTTGATCTCAAGGGGCTTCACCTGGTTAAATAAAGGCTACAAACAAACAAACAGCCAGAGCACAACAGTTTGCTGCTACAATGTGTGATCTGCAGGTTGATTTGTTCTCGCTAGTTGATTTACCCCTCTGAAAAGATGAATAGTCTCTGACTAAATCTGTTTTTAACACACAGTAGATATATTTCTTGAAGATAAATGGTTTTATTTCAGATTTATTTTCTGCCATTTTTGTCTAAAATTGCATTGTTGGAAATTAATGTATGTATATATTTTTGACTTAAACTTTCAAGGAATAAATCATGTCGCTTGAGTTAGTTTTTTGCCATGGACAAAATGTGATTCTGGTTTGTTTTGGGATGGACTAAGGGTTCCCTCTAGTCACTCTGGTGTCCCTTTGATCAACACTGAGGGTTTTACCGTTTATAAAATACACAATAATAATGTACTAAATGTGCAACTCCTCGTTTATTAAAAAGACAATCCTAACACTTCCACCGCATTTAGGTTTGTGGTGGTAGCTCGTTTTCAAATCTTTAATATGCTTTTGTGGCAAAACGGCCAAAGACACTCAATTTTTTTTTATAAAGCTATTTACATTTTTTAAATGATCTATATCACAAGAAGTTATAATATAAAGTAGATCCCTTTTAAAGAATAGGTTTAAGAGTACTCTGTGGATGCATTTCGGTAAGAAGTGTTGAATGTAAACCTAAGTGTGTTTACACTGACCTCCACAGGGTTTCTTTTAAACAGCCGTAAATAAATAAATATTAACCTAGTCATAATTGAGCAGATTGCTTTCTATTTATTTGCATGGAAATGTGGTTTCCTCAATACTGCCTCCCCTTCAAAATAAACTCAAATGCAATAAAAACAGAGCAGTAAAAACATTGTTCAATTATATACAAATTGCAGTATTGATTATCTACTACAATACTCACAAAACCTATTGTGCTCTTGTAAAATATAAACTCTTCAAGCCAGTTGATTCAGTAGGTTTCAGAGAAGACTAAATGTAATCTAAATGCCTTTGTGTGTTTAGATGAGTTTTATGTTGCGATACATTGCTTGTATTTGTATTAAGTGAGTGCACTAATCGTCTCTTGTCAAACAGTTGTTGATGACTCTTGAAGCAACATTTCATGCCGTTGTTCTTCACGCTTAATGAGGAACAAACTATATTTATATTCATCTCAAGGCCATCGATACCCCCCCCCCCCCCCCACGCCCCTGGATAGTCCCGCGTTGCCATAGAGATTTTAAATTCAGGCTGTTTCCCCTAAACGATGCTGGTTAATTATCCATTTCTATAACAACCCACAGAATGAAAAATGTAGAAATAAGCTTTTCAATATTCAAGATTGCTGTAGCTGAAGTGTTAGTCGATACTGAGAGTTGCTTGGGTGTGATTTATTACACGTGCATTTTGTTGAAATCATGTAAAATATCACATCCCTATTTGTCCAACATCCCCCCGTCCCTCTAAAAAAATCTTCCAAACATTTATTCTCCTTGTTTTATTTTTTCTTGAACTGAAATACCTCATAACATGTATAGGAAGTGTTTGTCTTGTGTTATGTAGATCCAAACTGTTCAGAGAGAGGGAGAAAGCATTTGTTTTTGTGGTCCTTAGACTTTTTGATTTGAACACTGATCTATTTGAGTGGAATAAGCCTGTGCTCGTGTACAGTATTTGACTGAATTGTGCTAATGTTAACGAAACGATTTAAGTGGCTACTGCAAATACAACTTACTTTAGTCACTAGTAACACTATTGACCTTGTCGTATAAGCTACCCCCCCCCCCCTAAAAAACAACCTAAAAAAACAACGCCCTACATGCTCACCACCTTGTCTACTTATGTGAAGCTCACTTAGTTTCAAAAATCTAGAATTGTATCGAGAGTTCAGGGTTTTAGAAATGTGGGAAGTGACAAAATGACAAAAATCATATGCACTGATCATGTATAATCATCTTTTGTTTTTTTAGAAAATTGTTATTGTAGAAAAAAAGATGATAAAGCTATTAACGGAGTTACCTTTGGTTGCCTGGAATGCATCCTGTATATTCTTGTACGGAGGACAACCTGGCAGACGTTGAAGAGATTTGAAATTCTTGCGCCCACTTGTACATATCGATGTACCTCGCTTGTGGCGTTTACTGTGTGACCCTTAGCAGTTGAGGTTTATTCGTCCCCTCACAGGGCGACCTGAGCCTCACTTCGCTGACCTTTTTCAGCTCGTAAATAAGCTCACCGATTTGCCTTACCCAATCTCATGTTGCCCCGCTAAAGTACTTGTTCAATAAAACACTATGAAGAGGAATTCTGCTCTCCTAGATTCAAAACCCCCATGTTAGGGGTACGTCAGCGATCAACAAAGTGACTTTGTTCTGGTTGTCACATGGTACAACTTTACAACCATCGCTGGTTTGTATGCTATTCCCCCCCCCCCCATGTTACCTTTTTCAAATCTCGGTCTTGAAAGCTTATTTAATTTTTCACTGCATATGATGTCATACTTTTAACCAATGCAAGTGTTTTGACATGGTAACCTCGTAAGCATTCAAAATGTGCATACATACATTCATGTCTGCTATATTTATGATTACATTCAAGAATAGCTTTAGAGTGCTGTAGATAAGTATTATCAATGTTGATTCAAATGCTTCTCAGAGGCCTCTGTGAGTGATTTTACAAAGTTCAATAATTGTATATTTTGTATTATGTTCTAGCTCCAAAGGAATGGCAGAAAAAAAGAAAATGTTTAAAAAAGCTTTGTTCCCTGAACTAAATTGTACTATTTGTGTTGTCGATTGAACAAATTGCATTCCTTGCTTGTGAATTGATGCATTTCTCTCCCTGCTCCTTACATTTTCTCCCCTTCTTAGTTCTTCCCCTCCTTTCTTTCATTTTTTAGCCTTTGAAGTTTGAATACAATTTCTAGTTTGCAGAATGTATTACTAAATAAATGGGTTGTCATCTGTACCTCTCAATTCATCACTTTCTTTTTGGGCAACACCTTCTTTCATTGTAAAGAAAAACAACTTGAAAGAAATTCTCACAGTTTCTACAGAAAAAGTTATATTACTAAATAGTATGCGTACATTGTTGAAAACAGGATTGAATAGAACACAGTTCAGTGTTGCTTTTTAAAATCAGTTTTGTAATGTAATCTGTTACTAGCTTTGCACCATCCTAACACTTGAACATGCATTAGAGTAAGTTTAGGGCTTGAGTGCAAACGTAAATCTTCAAAATTGTGATACTATTTACAAAGTATGACATGTAACGCAGGCTTTTTGTCTTATAATCACACGACTCTAGTGACAACATGAATGTTAAAATGTAGAAGTTTACTGTAAATGAAGGGTGTTCTCATGTATTGCCATTAGATTCTAGTTAAAGAGCTGTATATATAGGATCTTCAAAAAAAAGAAACACCTGTCCAGTTCATATAACAGCATTATATATGTTGTGAAGGTATCCTCAAAGGCGAACACTACATAAATCATTGCAATATTTATTTTACATGATCAAGTTCACAGTTGTATGAGTCTCAAACGTGTGGTTTCCTGAAATGTAAAGTCTGTATCTGCTCCATATGAAAAGAGACTGATTTTGTGATCCCACACAAAGTTAGTTTTCTCTATACCCAAATCCTCTTTATTCTATCAGTGTTCTCTGTAAACAGAAAATGGCACATACACACAGAACAAACCTCTTGGTTTCTCTGTCATAACCTGTTTACAGATTAATTGAGTTTTGGAACCCTAGTTTTGGGATTTGGGAGAAAGTTGTTCATGTACACAAATGTTTTTAGTTTTAGAGTGTAGGAATAATCTAAAATAAATCAAAATGGGTAGTTCCCCTTTCAAGATTTGTCCCACATCTGGATGAAAAAGTATTTCACCCACAGCATGATACAACACTTTTAACCCATTCCTTAACTTGCGCCTTTTTCCTATTCTAAAGATGTTAGCTAAAAATGAAATGTCCTGGATCAATTTCTGAAACCAAAATGAAAAAAAAGGTCATTGATATATTTTTTTATGTAATAAATGAACATGTTAGCAAGGACAGATTTTATTTGTATCACTTAAGAAATGGGTTAAAAATTGTAGAATATTTTTTCACCGATTTTTGGGTCTTAAATTGTATTTAAATGAACTGTGTTTTTTTCAAAAATTGCCAGTTCATTGTTTTTTGGGAAAAATATAATGGTAGACATGAGAGGAAGAATCACGGGCTGTCCTTCAAATGTCTGTGCTCGCAGTGTGTGTAAAAACTAACACGCCCTGTACGCAGCGTGTTCCTGAGCCCCATGTCCTCCTGAAGCTCAGTGCTGTTGTTGACTGGTCTCCCTGCCTTTTCTGTCAGTGTGTGCTGAGTGCATGTCAGGGGCTTGAGCTCAGACGGTGGGTCATGGCGGTCCACGGCCACCGGGATTAACAACCGTGGGAGGGATTACTTCAAATGTCAACATAATGTCATGAGCTGTGTTAGAAGGTCAAATGTTCAAACGGTGCTCAGTGGCGAGCAGTTAATAGATCAGGTACAATTTGGATTGTTGTGGCTCCTGTGCGGAATGAACTGGCATGCTAAAACAAGCTTCTTTAGGAGATACTTTTCTGTATTCTTGTAATTCAAGTTTTTTATTTATGAACATACATGGTACATTGCACATGGTACAGCATACAGAAAGAGGAAGGTCAGGCTACAAAACATGTTAAGTGTTCCTGGTTAAAAGAAAACAGAAAAATACAAAGGTGTAAGATTACCAATCAGACACTATAGCAATCATAAAATTAAAATAATAACAAATGATGCTTGATTAGAATAATTGTACAAAGACCCTTTTGTGAGAGTCCTACAGTCAGGCTACTAGTTAGAGGTCAGGTATTCCACAAAGTAATCCCAATTTACCACAGGTCATTGTTCTGTATTATTTAAAGAAACTGAAGACAGATTAGATGCAGTGCAGTTTAGAGTTTGCAAATATGTATGTATTCAGGAGAATATATATACAACATTTTTTTTTCTCAGTCAGTGGATATCAATGATTAGATACAACCTTTAAAAATGTCTCCCAGCTTTTTTTTATGACTCAATGTCTGACTGATCATACTCTAACAGGATCCTAATCCAGCAGCCAGTAAACCAGAGGGGGGCAGTGTTAATAGCTGAGACTGCTCAGGAACACCAGGTGCAGCATTCACACTCAGAAAGGCCTCTGAAAGTTAATTGATTTATTAAGTAGATGTTGCTGACATCTTTGAATGAAATAACAGCACTTTATCACTCGACTTTAAGTCACCTCACACTGAATATCTGGTATGTTAATGGTCATTGCCCTCGTGTTGTTGCCTTTTTAGCCTCTTCTTATTAAATATGTCCCCTCTGTTGCTTTGGAAACATTTTAGCTACTAGATTAATGTGCTAAAAAAATAAGAAACATTTTCACAACTAAATTGAGCAAATAATAACTCTGATCTAAAACAAGCTTGTTATTTTCGACCTGTACATAACTGTATAAGAACCATTTGCCCGTTAGAACTGAACAAAACGTGGCTCATTAGATCCCGGGCCACCTGTGCACCCCTAATGAATCACTCTGCCCTTATATTCCCCCCCTCCCCGCGTCCACGTCGGCAGAGGCCATCATCAAATGGAGCTGGCTCGTCATCTGCCTGCCATTGTTTAGCGCATGTCATGCTCTGCTTCTCATGGCGGAAAAAAACCATTTGAGCCTGACTAATGCAGCCATGCAGACGCAGCAGTACGAGGTGGGGGTGGGGGGGCACACCGCGTACTATGCGTGGATGGTCTCTGCACTGAGGTCACTGAGCTCCACATTTGCTAATTTGCTTTGGTGTGCACTGGGAGCCAGATTTTTCAGGGTTGATCTGTGCAAAAAAAGGAGAAATATACTTAGATTGAGTTAAGACAAAGAAGAGACGACTGGTAGTTTGTGTACGACATAGCTAGGATCAAACCCAACATTTTCCCTGCTGTCTTTATATGGCATCTTCTTCTTCTTCCCCCTCCACTATGCTGCTTTCCTTCTCCAGTTCCTCTTCCTGTGAGTGTTCTTGTTGCCCGAGGTCAGTTTGTCACAGAGAACACAAGCTTTTCTCACTTGGTTGCAGCGATTCAATGATTGGTGTGTACAAACAAGCATATCAAGCAGAGATGACATGTACCCCCCCTCCCCCCTCACGCCCTCCTCTCTCCTGCGGACATGTCTTCTCTCTCTCTCTCTCTCTCTCTCTCTCTCTCTCTCTCTCTCTCTCTCTCTCTCTCTCTCTCTCTCTCTCTCTCTCTCTCTCTCTCTCTCTCTCTCTCTCTCTCTCTCTCACACTTGGTGGGAGTGAGCGTCCCCCTGCATGAGGTGTGTTACACAAGCTGCTGCCCTGGGAATCCCGGGCCAGCTCATTATCCCGCACCCCTGAGACACAGCTCACTGTAAATTAGGACATCAAACGCTGCAGACTTGTTAGAGAGCCACAGATAAACTCATTAGCATCAGCACCTCTCCTTGTTAGGGCATGTATCAGCGCTGGCTCCCACCACCACGTTGCGTCCTGTCATTCCTCCACACTGACGGAGAGCTTTAGGATTAATGTCAGCCGTAGCCAGCAGGTCAGCCCTGTTGTGGTTCTGATGGATCAGTGGTGGCGGAAAGCTGTGGTATCTGTTGACAGCTGCCCACTATCCCCACCGCTCGTATCCATATTTCATTGTGTGGAGAAGGGGGAGAGAAATCTCGTCTGGCAAGTGGCTAGCTGTGTGTCACAGCTGCAGGGGGTAGACAACATGACTGAAACCCCGTTCACTGCAACATGGTTGTTTATAGTAAAGCAATTTAATTAATTATCATAATGTATTTTTATTGATAATGTTTATTTTTCTACTTCTTGTTTTGTTGTTCTTAGGTGATAGACATGTAATGGTGGAAACGGAATAAATGTAATCGTTAGACAGACCTGCATTTATAGGGCACTCAATAGTTAAAAGTACAACTCAGCCTTTTATTAATGTTTAAATAACTACTCAGATATTTTACTGAATTAAAATGAGTATTACTACAGTGTAGAAATACTCATTGAAATGTTACTTTAGTTAAAGTAGGAGCATCAAATTATACTTGAAGCACTAAAAGTAAAACTCAGAATTAAAAAAGTAATATCCTGTATTATAATTAATTAATTATAATGTTAATGTTAAATACAATGCTAGGCAGCTTATCAATGTCACTAAAAGAACAATAATGTTGTATAGGAGTACACCAATAATACATCCTCCTTTTTCTTTAAATTATATTTTGTAACATGATTCTGAATCTATATAGATAGACGTTGTGGAAAGATTATTACATACAAAGGAGCAGTAAATAGAAATATTCAAATCAAGTACCTCAAAGGAGAGTAATGTATTAAAAGTACTCAGTCACATTCCACCACTGTCTATAATAAATGTTTGTCTTAATTTGTTATGGAGGAGCTTCACAAAGTCTTAATTAAAATCCCTATAGAAGCTGCTAATCCAGTTGCATTCTTGGAAATCTAGGATCAAGTGTTTTAAATCCTGTCTCCTAGAAAACACTGCTTAATAGTTTCCCAAATTATGTCGAGCTTGTAAATGTAATCGCTTGGATTATGTTCACAGGCTATATTGTTTTTGAATGAATGACAGGGTATACAAAAGCATCCTGTATCTTTTTTTGTGGTTAACTTTAAACAATGTAAACACTTCAAGGTAAAGCTTGTAGTTGTGCTAAATGTTTACAATCGCACCGTTATGAGATTTATGATTTACTTTCTCTGAAAACCACATTGTTTTCCTATACCATAACTAAGTGAGAGCCTAAACATAACCATACAAAAGTTTAAAATATACTGTAGTCATAAGAAGTGCTGTATATAAATATATTGTTTTGCAATGTTAGTATTGTTTAGATATGTTGGAGAAAAATAAAATACCTTGTCAATAAAAT